ACGCCCCCCCATGTGCTGCCCAGGAGCCTCGGGTTTGGGGGTGATGGCAGAGCTGGGATCTCCCCAGCCAGGGCTGGTGCCACCTAGTCCGGCAGAACCCACGAGCCGCCACAGAACTCCTACCAGGACAAGCATGACACAGCTGGCCGGATCCAGCAGCGGGCTTTCCCACGAGCCCCGGGAGATGCAGGCCTGCCCCTCCCCTGCGCCACATCCTTGTGAGCGGTCCCTGCTCACGAGCCAGCCACGGCCACCTCTGCAGCCTGAGCTTCCGGTGCTCCCCGGCCGGGCCTCGGGTTAAGGGATGGCAGTCAGGTGTGCATGGCTGCGCGCCGAGATTCCTATCAGAATCCAGGGGCAGGTGCAGGTACCTCCGGGACACCAAACTTCCCCGCAGGGCTGATCAGAGGGGCAAATTGTTTCCATGTGACATCAGCCCCCAGCCCCAGGGAAGGCCACTTCTCACCTCTCTAGGGCGTCTGGTAGGAGGTGTGTGCTCCAGGAAGGCCTCACACCCAGCGCAGCCTAACCTCTGGTGTACGAGTACTGTGGCGGCCAGGACCACGCTGCCTCGCCGGCAGACGCACTGCACAGACCTGCATGGGTCCCGGGCCTCTGCCTCCCCGTGATGTGCTCAAGGCCTCCTTAATCACACCACGCCGGCCTCGAGCACACGACCTTCGGCCCCAGCTCCCAAGCTGCGAGGGCCACAGGCCCACGCCACCTCGCCCAGCTCTCTGTGGGCAGGGGTGAAGCCAGCGTCCGCATGGGCAGGTGGAAGTATGGGCACCACATGGGGCCTCACCGCGCTCTGGGTAGGGGCCGAGGATGGCCGCCACTGCGCACGGCATGCTGCTGCCCTAGCAGTCTCACCCGTGGCACGAGACGAGGCTTGGGCTCCACGGTTGTGCCGGCAACGCCCTGTCCCTGGGTTCCCTATCCACATAGTGGCCGCTATCCCAGGGCTCCCTCTGTGTACACAAGACCCTGCGCATCCCCGTGGCGTGACCCGGCAACGCAGCATACCCGTTTGGATGGGGACATCTGAGAGGCCGGCACCCTTACTGCTGAGCACAAGCCAGTCACCAGTCTGCGGGGCTGCCCGGTCCCAGAGCCCTGCAGTCCAAGTGCACCTGCCCACAGGCTGCTGCCGGCTAACCCCACGCACACACGTGGGAGCCAGCAGTGTGGGCAGGGGCACCTCGAGGGGCGGGGCCTGGCAGGGCATGTCTGGAGTTAGTCACATAGGTCCTTGGCCTGCAGCAGCCTTGGCCCCGACCACCTGCCTTCCTTCCTCATTGGAGACCTGGGGGTCCCTCACAGCTGTGGCTGACAGCAGGATGCCATGACCAAGACCAGCCGGATCGGGAGGCCATCCAGGTGTGACCTGCCTGGTGCTTGGCCACTCTGTCTCGCCACCTCAGAGCCCAGGCACGGCTGCACCTCAGTCCTCAGCACCCAGCCACGGCGGTACCTCGGTCCTCAGCATCAGCTGCCGAATGCTGCAGTGTCTGCCCATGTTGTAGGGTGCATGTGGGGATGGACGCCTGTCATGCAGTTCAGGCCACAAGGCCAGGGACATGGGGAGGCTACGAGGTCAGGGACATGGGGAAGCCACGAGGACAGAGAAATGGTGAGGCCATGAGGCCAGGGGCACGGGGAGGCCACCAGGGCCAGAGGCACGGGGAGGCTGCGAGGCCAGGGAAAGGGAGGCCATGAGGCTAGGGGCATGGAGAGGCCACCAGGGCCAGGGACACGGGGAGGCCACAGGGTCGGGGCCTGGGGGGGACACAGGGTCAGGGCCTGGGGGGGACACAAGGTCGGGGCCTGGGGGGGACACAGGCCCTGTCCCAGGGGCCCTGGGTGGCTCAGCTGCTTGTGTGAATGGACGCTCCAGCCTGTGCCCCGTCGATCTGCTCCCCATTCAAACCCCAGTAAGGCAGGCTCCAGGTGGCGGCCAGAGCTGGCCCAAGCTTCTGGGGAAGCAGCCAGCAGGGAAGCAGAGAGCAGGCGGGGCCCCAGGCCTAGGGGTGTCACAGAGACCCCCACGTACAGGTCCCCAGGGACAGGAGGGGGGAGGACACGCTGCCCAGAGGCCAGCATGCTTCTGAGCGTGGCCCACAGGCCTTCCAGACGTGCGTCTGGTCCCTGGGACCCGACTCCTGGTGGCATGGCTGAGGGAGCCCTGGATGTTGCTCTGCCACCGAGACGGGCCATTCAGACAGCAGGGCGGACACGCCCCCGCAGTGCACACTGAGCGCCCAGGTCAGCTGCAGGCCAGGCCTCCTCCCACCAGCGCTGGCCTCCATCACTCAGCCTGTCCGACTCAGTCCAACGACCCCCTCACGATTCCAGGCCTGCAGGCGAGCACGGCGGGCCAGGATGGTGTCTGTGAAGTGCTGGACCCGAGGGATGAGACAGGCGTCGACTGCTGCGGGGCCTGGGGCCAGCTCGCCACACGCAAGGTCCCAGCTCTTTCTGAGACATGAGCAGAGCGCCCACAGACCAGCGCGGAGGTACCGCTGGGGAGACGGCGGTGTCGGGATGGGCAAAGAAAGTCTCCACGCCCGTTTAGGAAAAAAACGATTCAAGTCACAGCAAACAAGGCGCCCTCTGGCAGTAGGGACCAGAAACATATCGGGCACCAGCTGCACAGGACATGCAGCGGGACTCGCATGTCATCAACGGTCCGGGGACAAGCGACACAGGGAGCCAGGACTGTGGGGAGCAGAGAGGTCGGGGTCAACGAGGACGGAGAAACTGCTCTCGGCCCGGCCGACGGG